GATCAAGGAGAGAAGCAACCTGGAACTAAGGAGAAACTTCCTGACAGTTAGAACAATTAACCAGTGGAACAACCTGCCTCCAGAAGTGGTGAATGCACCAACACTGGAAGTTTTTAAGAAGAAACTGGACAGCCATTTGTCTGAAATGGTATAGGGTTTCCTGCCTGAGCAGGGGGTTGGACTAGATGACCTCCAAGGTCCCTTCCAACTTTATTATTATTATTATTATTATTATTATTATTATTATTATTATTACTCCTCACTCAACAAATGTCTCTCTTAGCCACAGAAATGTGGAAGTCAATTAATGGTCATATGTGAGGGACTAGCTGTATTTCACTGGGTTGTTATCCTTGGCAAGGCCTCAGCTTAGCCAAGGGTAGATGACTCTCTGCTTTTAACTTTAAGCTTCAGGACCACATGGAATTTCTATCCACCAGCCCGGAAGGGCCATGTGGATTTGTCAACTCTCTCTCCTGTTTCTCAAACTCAGCAGCTTTTAAGATGTGTGGACTTCAACTCCCAGAATTCCCCAGCCCGCTTGCCAGACTAACTTCGTCCAATCTTCTGAACAATTTCCTTAGTAGACTGGGGGTATGCTGGAAAAGGTAAATATATCTTGATTTCAAGCGAAGCGTTCGAGGACGCCAGGCTCTCTCTTGAGTAGCAAGCTGGATAAATGCGGACTCCTGTAGTTGCTACGGTTGTGAAACAGCTCACCTTATCTGGAGAAAAGGTGACACGCCTACAACGTCTCTAGGACAAATATCCCGTTCTCCACACATACACAAACACCCGCGGGCACACAAAACGGAGGCATTGCAATCCAGTCTGACGTCAATACCAGGAAAGATTGCAGAGAGCGGCGCATAAAGAGCAGTGTAAAACCTTTTCAAAATGACACTAATTATCGGGTGCCGTTGTGGATTTGTCAAGAACAAGTCTTGCCAGACTCAATTCCTCCACTGTTCTGAACAATTAGTAGTAGATTGTAGTAGTAGTGGTAGATTCTACAACCCTTAGTAGATTGGGGGTATTCTGGAAAGATAATACGTCTCGACTTCAGCAAAGCATTTGACAACTCCAGACAGTTTGAATAGAAAACCTAGATAAAGAGTTGGAAGGGACCTTGGAGGTCTTCTAGTCCAACCCCCTGCTCAGGCAAGAGACCCTATACCACCACTGCAGACAAATGGCTGTCCAATCTGTTCTTGAAAGAATCCAGTGTTGGAGCACCAATTTCTGGTGGCAAGTTGTTCCACTGGTTAATTGTTCTCAATGTCAGGAAATTTCTCCTTAGTTCCAGGTTGCTTCTCTCCTTGATGAGTTTTCATCTGTTGCTTCTTGTCCTGCCTTCAGGCGTTTTGGAGAATAGCTTGACTCCCTCTTCTTTGGGGCAGCCCCTGAGACACTGGAAGACTGCTATCCTGTCACCCTTAATCCTTTTTTTTTCATTAAACTAGACAGACCCAACTGCAGCAACCGTTCCTTATATGGATTTTATATAGATAAACGTGGATTTTTTTCCCTCTAAAGAAAAAAAGTTCCTTTCAATATAACTTCCAAAGAAGATGAGAATACTAACATTATCATGGCTGGAGAATTCCTACATTATCTAGCTGTATTTGCACACAGGATTTTGACCATACTGGGTGATCTTTTTTTTCTCTCGTTTCCCAGCTTTTATTGGCATCTGAGTAATTTATGATTCATTGTATTGTGCAAAGGAAGGAACATATCACAATGTGAACAGAATGTGAGCGCAGATATTTAGAGATAAGGTGGCCGCATCATAGCACAGGTAGTCCTTGATTTACAATTGAGCACATTTTCTGTAATGGGCCCTATCCAACAGAAGGAATTTCAATGTGGAGAAAAGCAAAGTCTTACATTTAGGCAGGAAAAACCAAAGGCACGAATACAGATTGGACGAGACCTGGCTCAAATACAGCAACTGTGAGAGGGACCTTGGAGTCCTAGTGGACGATCACTTGACTGTGAGCCAGCCGTGTGTAGCAGCAGCCAAAAAAGCTAACACAATCCTGGGTTGTATAAACAGGCATAGAATCAAGATCACACAAAGTATTAATACCACTTTATAAAACCCTAGTGAGGCCACACCTGGAATACTGCAGCCAATTTTGGTCACCGTATCACAAAAAAGATGTTGAGAGTTTGGAAAAAATTCAGAGAAGAGCAACTAAGATGATCCAAGGCCTGGAGACTAAAACATACGAAGAACGGCTGCAGGACTTGGGTATGGCCAGTCTAAAGAAAAGAAGAAATAGGGGAGACATGATGGCAGCGTTCCAGTATCTGAGGGGTGGCCACAAGGCAGAGAGGATCAAATTATTCTCTAAAGCACCAGAGGGAAGGATGAGAAGCAATGGATGGAAACTGATCAAGGAGAGAAGCAGCCTGGAACTAAGGAGAAACGTCCTGACTGTGAGGACAATCAACCAATGGAACAGCTTGCCACCAGAAATCGTGGGTGCTCCATCACTGGAGATTTTTAATAAGAGACTGGACAATCACCTGTCTGAGAGTTTACGTTCTCCTGCTTGAGCAGAGGGCTGGACTAGAAGACCTCCAAGATCCCTTCCAGCTTCTATTCTCTTTTATTCTTATTTTCTACTTTCTATTCTATTCTAATTTTCTATTCTATTCTATTGTGTCCTGTCCTGTTCTATTCTATATTCTATTTTTTCTATTCTATATTATATTCTATTTTTTCTATTCTTTATTCTATCTATTCTATCGTGTCCTATTCTATCTATTCTATTGTATTCTATTCTATATTCTATTCTATTCTAATTTTCCAATTTCCATTGGAGATCAAAGGCCTCCCCCCCCCTAATCTTTTATTTTTTATTTTTCTTCTTCCTTCTCTTTTGAACAGAATTGAGCTGGAAGGGACCTTGGAGGTCTTCTAGTCCAGCCCCCCGCTCAAGCAGGAGAACCTATACCATCTCAGACCAGGGACTGTCCAATCTCTTCTTCAAAACCTCCAGGGATGGAGCGCCCACCATTTCTGGTGGCAAGCTGTTCCACTGGTTGATTATCCTCCGTCAGGAAGTTTCTCCTTCATTCCAGATTGCTTCTCTCTTTTATTCTTTTCGTCTTTCCCCCCCCCCTATTCTTCTTCCCTTTTCTATTTTTTCATCCTTTTTCCTTTCCTATTCTTCCTTCTCCTTTTCTTCTCTTCTTTCTTCCTATTCTTTTTCCTTGGTTCATCTGTTTTTCCCTTCTTCCGCTTTCCTTCCTTCCTTTCCTTGGAAGACTTCCAACTTGGTTAATTCTGTTCCACTGAGCAGTCAGAAGGCGCTGCAGCCAGGAGGTCCTTCTCTTTTCTTTCTTTTAGTATTTTCTCCTGCCTATTCTTTTTTCCTTGTATTTCCTTCTCGTCTTTTCTTCCACCTTTTTCCTTCCTTCCTTCTTGAAAAACTTGTGACACTGAGCAGTCAGGCCTTCGTTCCTCAGCGCTCTGCTGCCACCTTGTGGGGAAATGGGAGCATTTCTCTCCAGCGTCCACACCAGGGCTGCCTTTTCACTAAATCCTTTTTCTCCCACCCCAGAATCAGATCTCTCAAACTACAACTCCAATGATTCCCAGCCAGTTGCCGAGAGACTTTGAGGCACTAACCTCTGGAGACAAAAATCAAAGAAAACAGAGCCGGCATTCCTCATTTCTTTTGACAGTTCGGCTTTTCTAAGGGCGAAAAATGGCCTTAGAAAATGCCGTTGTGACTTTGGTTACTCAATGAACTTGTTGTAACCCGAGGACTGCCTCTATGTGTAATCTAAAGGACAGGGGCATCACAAGGCACTACCAATTTCTTGTACCTGTTTTTCTCTTCTTCTATGGCGGGTGTGTGTGTGTGTAAACTCGGCCCTTTTAGGGACTTGACTCCCAGAATTCTCCAGCAAGAATTAGTTTACTCTCTTGTAATCCCTTCCTCTGCAATCTCTCCGCTTTAGTAGAAGGGAAAAAAACAACCCAGGCATGGCTGGCTGAGGAATTCTGGGAGTTGAAGTCCACGAGTCACCAAAGGGCCAAGTTTGAAGACCCCCGTTCTAATGGTCACGTGCAACTAGAAATAAATGTCTGGTGGGGTCCTTGGTGCTCTCTTGAGCTATGGTGGTTTCCTTGCAGACGTTTCATTACCCAAACTGAGATAACATCATTAGTTGTAGAGTGCTGGCACTGATGATGGTTACTTAGTTGGGCAATAAAATGTCTGCAAGAAAGCCACCCAGCTCAGAGAGCATCAAGGACCCCATAGTCTTCCTTCTCCTCCCCCCTTCTAACGCTGACGATATAACCTAGTTGGGTCATGAAACGTCTGCAAGAAAATCACCAAGCTCACAGAGCACCAAGGACCCTATAGTCTTCCTTCTCCTCCCTTCTAGCACTGATGATGTAACCTAGTTGGGTCATCAAACGTCTGCAAGAAAACCACCCAGCTCAGAGAGCACCAAGGACCCCTGAGTCTTCCTTCTCCTCCCTTCTAGCACTGATGATGTAACCTAGTTGGGTCATCAAACGTCTGCAAGAAAACCACCCAGCTCAGAGCATCAAGGACCCCATAGTTTTCCCTCCTCCTCCCTTCAAGCACTGATGATGTAACCTAGTTGGGTCATGAAACGTCTGCAAGAACACCACCCAGCTCAGAGAGCACCAAGGATCCTATAGTCTTCCTTCTCCTTTCTAGCACTGACAATGTAACCTAGTTGGGTCATGAAACGTCTGCAAGAAAACCACCCAGCTCAGAGAACACCAAGGACCCCTCATTTCAACCCTGAGTTACAAAGATCCTCCTTTATTAGAGCCCAACGTCCACCCTGAGTAAATTCAAGGTAGGTCTAACGTGACTGCACCGCACCGGTTTGTTTAAAATCGCCTCCAAGACGCCGAGCTGAAATCACGCAAGCCAGGGGACACCCGATATCCCAACTCCACTGCTTCACACACAACATTAGGCACTGGAAACGCACGAGCATCCACTTAGGCCCTTTAATCTGTCCTAGACAGGTTGCCGTGACACAAATGATAAAACATTTTGCATTTTTTTACAGCAAGGGGGGAGGGAGGGAGAAGAAAAAAAACAAAAAAACAAAAATACAAAGAGAAAAAGCCTACAGAAATGCATCGGGAAGTTAAATTTTGTACATGGGGAAAAAACGTTATAAATTCAGGGAAATACATGGACACAACTCCCACATTTCTTGTGGCTTTTTGTTTGTTTGTTTTGTTTTTCTAAAAAAGTTCTTATGCGCGTGCCAGGCAGTCGCTTGGCTGTTTCTTTGCTGAGGGGGGGGAGGCCTCCGGGGAAGCCCCCCCCCTCGGGGACTGCAGACGTGTCTTGGAATGTCCTCAGAAGGCTCTGTCATGTCAAGGTGACAGAATCAAAAACCCCAGAGTCCTTTCGGATGCGGAGGAAAGCACGCCGCTCAGTCGTCAAACTTGATCTTCTTCCCTTGGGGCTTGTGATCGCCACCGCCGCCACCTCGGCCGCCCCTGAAGCCGCCACCGCCTCTGCCTGGAAGGGGGGGGGGAAAAGGAAGAAGGGCTTGTGGGTGTTCGGACAAGCTTCAAAGCCACAGACGGGCCTCGAATTGGGACCACAGCGGGGGGGGGGGGGAAATACAAAATTTCCGCCGCTAAGCAAAGCGGCGGCGAAGTGAATTGGGCCCATTGGAATGTAGTAACAGAATAGAAAGAGTAGAGTAGAAAAGAGAAAAAAAACAGAAAAGAATAGAGCAGAAAGAGTAGAATAAATACAAACAGAAGAATAGAATTGCAAATAGAAGGGGATAGAATAGAAAAGAACAGAACATTACAGAATAGAATGGAATAGAATATTATAGAACAGAATAGAATACAAAATAGAACAGAATATTATAGAATAGCAAATAGAATGGAATGGAATAGAACAGAACATTGTTTATTGGCCAAGTCTGAATTAGACACACAAGGGATTTGTCTCCAGTGCAGAAGCTCTCAGCGTACACACAAACAACAAAGGCGATATAATCGCAAGATACCAATAGAAGGTAATAGGAAAGACGAGAAGGATAATAGTAATTACAGCCCTACTCCATGGATAAATATCCTTAGACATAAAACAAGTGCTGTGGGAATTAGGTGCTTAGTAGAGTGATGGCCTGGGGGGAAAAACTAGATATCTGCTTTGGCAGGCGATGCCTTATAGCGGCATCCAGAGGGGAGAAGTTAAAACATTTAATGCCTAGGACAGGGGTAGGCAACCTTGGCCCTTTTATGACTTGTGGACTTCAACCCCCAGAATTCCTGAGCCAGCATGGGGGAACTATGGCCCCTTCATGACTGGTGGACTTCAACTCCCAGAATTCCTCAGCCAGCATGGGGGAAACTTTGGCCCCTTCATGACTCATAGACTTCAACTCCCAGAATTCCTGAGCCAGCATGGCTCAGCTTGGAAATCCCTCCCTTTCCCCTCAGTCTGGCTGGCTCAGGAATTCTGGGAGTTGAAGTCCACGAGTCATAAAAGGGCCAAGGTTGCCTACCCCTGTCCTAGGAGTTGAGGGGCCTGTAGCTATTTTCACTGCCCTCTTTCTGACCCATAGAGGCCCTCAGTGGAAGGCAGGCTGGTTGCAATTGTTTTTCTTCTGCAGCCCAAATATCCATTGGCTCTTTTTTGCCACCGTTGTTAAGCAGATCACTGCAACTGTGAATCAGGCAGTCATTAAACTGAATATAGCTTTCCCCACTGACCTAGAAACCATAATAATGAGGAGAAGAAAAAGGAGAAAAAGGAGAAAAAGGAGAAAAAGAAGAAGAAGAAGAAGAAGAAGAAGAAGAAGGAGGAGGAGGAGGAAGGAGAGGAAGAAGAAGAGGAAGAAGAGGAGGAGAAGGAAGAGGAAGAAGAAGAAGAAGAAAAAGAGGAGGAAAAGGAGAAGAAGGAGGAGGAAGAAGACGACCTGGGAAACACGGTATAGGCTGGCAACCAAATGGCCCCCGTTTTGATCAGGTGACCACGGGGGTGCCACGACGGTTGCGAAGGACAGGGACCGGTTTCCAAGTCATCTTTTTCCGTCGCTCAATGAAGGGTTTTGCAGGTGGAGGACTACCTGCCACTCAACCGTACTAGTCTGGACTACTCACCTCCGAAGCCTCCTCTGCCTCCTCCTCGGCCCCCGAATCCACCTCGGCCGCCACGTCCCCCTCCTCTGCCGCCACGTCCGAAGCCACCTCCTCCGCCGCCGCCCCCACGAGGGGTCCCGCCTTTGGGCTTGGCAAAGTCGAGGGTCACCCTGTTCCCGTCGATCTCTCCGTCCTCCATGGCTTCCTTGGCTGCCTTGGCGTCTTCCGGGGAGCTGAAGTCCACAAAGCCAAATCTGTGTGTGTGTAAGAGAGAGAGAAACCGTCACAAGCAGGGAACGGTCAGAGCGGAGAGAGACGCGAAGACCAGGTGGCCTGGCCGTTCCGCTGAAGCGCCTCAGAAAGCCAGCACCCGCCGAGACCAAGGGGAACAGATCGGCCCTAATACAGGGGAAGTCCCTGACTTGCAACACGCTTCCGTTGAGCGACCGTTTCGAAGTTGCAATGGCCCTGAGAAAAAGCGGACTTGTGTTTCACTTAACGACCGTGGCAGGGTCCCGTGATCAACATTCAGAGGCTTGGCAACCGACTCGCATTTACGACAGTCGCAGTGTCCCCTTGGGGGTCACGGGATCCCTTTTGTGACCTTCTGACAAGCAAAGGCAAGGGGGGGGAGCCAGATTCCCTTAACGACCATGTGATTTAACTGCGGCAATTCGTTTAACAAACGGGGCGAGGAAAGTCGTAAAACGGGGGCAAAAAAACTCACTTTTGGGCTGCACTGCGGTCGTTAAGTCCAGGACGCCCCGTCGCAGGTTTCTCTCCAGAAAGCACGGGGAGAGAAAGCATCCTGACCTGCCACCACTTAAAAACCTCTAAGCAGAGACGAGGTTGGGCTCCACGTTTGCTGAGGAAGCCTCAGTTTTATTACAAGTGGATTTTGCAGGAGGAGCGCACAGCGGGAACCGAGTGCGGAAATCCAGGCTTCCGCTTTTCCCTCCCCTAGCTACCTCCCACTGCCCACTCCCACCCACGCCCCAGGGTGTTTTCCTAATGGCCAGTCCCAGCACAGGACAGGATGCAGCTGGTATGCTGGGTGACCTGGAAGCACAGTCTTGGAGACAGACAGCATTCCCTTCCCTCTTCCCCCTTGCTTCCCCCCCCCAATCCTTGTAGTTGGCAGCTGACCTAAAGCATGGATACAAAACTGTCCCTGCCCCCCCCCCCCCCCCCCCAAGAAAGTTCTGCACTGCTGCAAAATGAACTGGCTAATGTTCTGGTAGTCTTGAGCTGGAGCTGACTCCAGAAGTGAGTCAAGAAAGGCCCCCTTCCTTCTCTTCCCTCCCTGGCTGCGGAGGAGCCAGCGCACAGCTCCTTCTGGCAGGAGACCCACATGAGATACAAACTAGTTCTCGACCTCTTTTGATATGTGTGGTGAAGAAGAGAGAGACGAGAGAAGACAGAAAAAAGAGAAAAGAGGAGAGAGAGAGGAGAGAAAGAGAGAGGAGAGGAAAGAGAAGAGAAAGAGAGATGTGGTGAAGAAGAGACGAGAGAGAGAAGACAGAAAAGAGAGAAAAGAGAGAGAGAAAAGAGAAGAAAGAGGAGAAAAGAGAGAGAGAAAAGAGAAGAAAGAGGAGAAAAGAGAGAGGAGATAAAAGAGAAAGAGAAGAGAAAGAGAGAGAGAGGAGAAAAAAGAGAGGGAAAAGAGAGAAAAGAGGAGAAAAGAGATGTGGTGAAGAAGAGAGACGAGAGAGAGAGAAAAGAGAGAAAAGAGAAAAGAGAGAAAGAGGAGAAAAGAGAGATAAAAGAGAAAAGAAGAGAGAGAGAAGAGAAAGAGGAGAGAAAGAGAGAGGAGAGAAAAGAGAAAGAGGGAAAAGAGAAGATAAAGAGGAGAAGAGAAGAGAAGAGAAGAAAAGAGAAAAGGAGAGAGGAGAGAGAGAAGAAAGTGGAAAGAGAAAAAAGAGAGGCGAGAAAGGAGAGAGAAGAGAGAAAAAAGAGAAAGAGAGGGGAGAGAGAGAGGAAAGAGGAAGAGAGAGAGACCTGCAAGCTGCCCATTCTGGAGAAGACTGGAGAAAAACAGAGAATTTTTCCCCCACCCCTGAAGCGTCTCCCACTCCAAAAGCTCAGCTGTCGCTATATCTGAATTTCCATTTGGCGAGAGGCCCCTGGTGCGCACGTTGTCCCGTAGCCGTGATGGCGAATCCCGCCCCAAAAGAGTTGGGAGAAGCTCAGGGTCAGGGCTGGGGGTTTCTGCTCTTCTTCTCGTGCGAATCCATGGCCTGCCACTCAAGTTCACCGCAGGATGGAGCTCATTGAGAAGGAAAAGCCGTCTCTGTCCGAAGCCGGACTACAAACGCCTTTCGGCGGAGTGGGAATTGAGCGTTTGAAGGACGGCACCCCCCGCGCGTCCCTGTTGCACCTACCCTTTGGAGGAGCCGGTGTCCCGGTCGGTCACTATTCTCGCACCGATGCAGCTGTCAAACGACTCTCTCAGGGTCTCTTCGGTGGTGTCCTCGGACAGGCCTTTGACAAAGAGGGTTTTGCTTTGCTCTGAAGGACGAGAGAAAAGGCCGGGGGGGGGGGGGAATCAGCGCAGGTAAAAGCCAGGTTCACTTATTAACTGTGTCACCAACTTAACAACTGCAGTGAGTCACTGAACAACTGAGAAAGGTCGTCAAAGGGGGGAAACTGTCACTTATCAACTGTCTCACCTAGCAATGGAAGTTTTGGGCTCATTTGTGGTCCTAAGTCTAGGACTTCCTGTAGGGTTTCCTGCCTGAGCAAGGGGTTGGATTAGATGACCTCCAAGGTCCCTTCCAACTTTATTATTATTGTTGTTGTTATTGTTTTTGAATTGCTAGGCTGGCAGGAGCTGGAGCAGAGAACAGGAGCTCACTCCGCCACACGGTGGCAGGACTCGGGTCCCCAACCCCCCGTCCGTGGACTGGCGGCATGCCAGCAACCGGTCCGCACAAAGAAACAAAGCCCCATCAGTGGGATGCAGGCTGTCAACGCTGCTAACATTGGAGGTTCTTGCTTTGACAACCTATGAAGATGCAGCCTTTTTCTTTCTGATGCTTTACTTTTAGAATTAGATGGTGCTGGGGGGGGGAGGAGGAGGAATGTGGTGGGAGTTAGACATAACAATATTGTACTAGTGGGTGAATTAGAGCTTGAAATAAGAGAGGATAAGAATTGGCGGGCTGGAGAACAGGAGGGAGAGCCTGCATTTCAAACTAATTGGAGAATGTGATTTATGACAGTCAACTGGAGGAGGGAATTGTGCTTTGATACTATGTGTTCAGGGGAGGGGAATTCAGATTTTGGCTTTAGCTATGCTACTCCAATAAAGATTCTTTAAGGCAGTGTTTCTCAACCTTGACAATTTTAAGGCATATGGACTTCAACTCCCAGAATTCCTTAAAATTGTCAAGGTTGAGAAACACTGCTTTAAGGTAAACCATGCCTCAAAGTTCTTTGAAGAGTTTCACCTGTCGGAACCAGGACACAGGCAGCACACAAAACCACACACCCTCCTGTCCGCGGGAAAACCTCTCTCCAAGGAACCGGTCCCTGGTGCCCAAAAGGTTGGGGGGACCCCTGCTTTAAGCCCCCCGCGCTTCTAGGATCAGCATTAACCGGGCCCTGGTTAATGCTCCAGGTAGGTAGCCAGGCTCTACTTACGACTAAAGCCTCCTTTAGTGTTTGCACTTCTGCTCTGTCCCCCCGAGTTGCTGAATTCTAATCGGATGGTGCGGCCTTCGATCTCTGTGTTGTTGCAGGAGTTCATGGCTTCCTTGGCCTCCTCAGCCGTGGCGAAGTCGACAAAGGCATACCTGACCCCAAGAGAAGGACGAAGTCACCAGAGGAACGCCACGAGGCGAGTGCGAGCTGTCTCAAGCCTTCTCTCCTCTCCCCTCCCCTCTTGGGGCCCTCGTGTCTCGGCTCCTACTCACCCTTTGGGTCTTCCCTGGTTGTTCTGGGGGATCCTGATGGCGGAGGCTTTCTCAAAGACCTCTTGAAGGCTTTCTTCGGTGGCATCGTAGGAGAGGTTGTTCACCACCAGCGTCTTCGATTCTCCCCCTGCGCCAAAAAAACCAACCACACACTTCGCTGAGTAATTGCGTTCCAAGAATACGGGCCAATCCTCATTTAGAGACCACAACTGGAAGGGGCAACTCGGTTGTTAAGCAAAGGGGTTGCTAAGTGAAGCTGCTTTTAGCAATAACAATAGTATTTAGGCTTATAGGGCTAAATTACAGCACTCTTTGGGCAATTAAAAACGAGAAGCGTTGTTTTTTGCACGTTGCCCCCAAACCATCTGGGTCCTCATTTTACCGACCAGGTGGACAATCCCTTAAACAGGAGCCAGCCGTGTGTTGCAGCAGCCAAAAAAGCTAATACAATCCTTGGTTTTTATTATAAACAGAGGCACAGAATCAAAATCATGTGAAGTATTAGTACCGCTTTATAAAGCCTTAGGAAGGCCACACCTGGAATACGGCATCCAGTTTTGGTCCCCACATCACAAAAAAGATGTTGAGACTTTGGAGGGGGAAAAAAAAAAGAGTAACTCAGATGATCCATGGCCTGGGGACAAAAACATACGAAGAACAGTTGCAGGATTTGGGAATGGCTAGTCTAAAGAAAAGGGGGACTAGGGGGTGACAAGATAGCAGCCTTCCAGTATTTGAGGGGCTGCCACAAAGAAGAGGGGGTCAAGCTATTCTTTGAAGCATCATCAGAAGGCAGGACAAGAAGCAACGGAAGGAAACTACTCAAGGAGAGAAGCAACCTGGAATTAAGGAGAAACTTCCTGACAGTGAGGACAATTAACCAGTGGAACAGCTTGCCACCAGAAATCGTGGGCGCTCCATCACTGGAGGTTTTTAAGAAGAGACTGGACAGTCACTTGTCTGAGATGGGATAGGTTCTCCTGCTTGAGCAGGGGGCTGGACTAGAAGACCTCCATGGTCCCTTCCAGCTCTATTCTGATTGATTGATTGATTGGATGGATAGAAAGCTGAGTCAACCTTGAGTCAGTCGGGATCAAACTCCAGGCCATGGGCAGAATTTGCCTGCCAACATTGCAGTTTAACCGCTCATTTTGATCTTACTTTGGCACTACAGGCCTGCAACGGTCTAAATGCAACCTGGAATTAAGGAGAAACTTCCTGACAGGGAGGACAATTAACCAGTGGAACAGCTGGCCTTCAGAAGTTGTGCATGCTGCAATACTGAAAGTTCTTAAGAGCCTCATTTCAAATTGTATAGGGTCTCCTGCTTGAGCAGGGGGCTGGACTAGAAGACCTCCATGGTCCCTTCCAGCTCTATTCTGATTGATTGATTGATTGAATGGATGGAAAGCTGAGTCAACCTTGAGTCAGTCAGGATCAAACTCCAGGCCATGGGCAGAATTTGCCTGCAACATTGCAGTTTAACCGCTCATTTTGATCTTACTTTGGGGCACTGCAGACCTGCAAAGGTCTAAATGCAACCTGGAATTAAGGAGAAACTTCCTGACAGGGAGGACAATTAACCAGTGGAACAGAAGTTGCCTCCAGAAATCGTGGGTGCTCCCATCACTGGAGGTTTTTAAGAAGAGACTGGACAGTCACCTGTCTGAGATGGTGTAGGTTCTCTTGCTTGAGCAGGGGGCTGGACTAGAAGACCTCCAAAGTCCCTTCCAGCTTCTATTCTATTCTATATTCTCTTCTATCCTTTCTCTCTTCTATTCTATTCTGTCTTTACTCTCTTCTCTTCTTTCTCTTCTATTCATTTTCTATTCTATTTGCTATTCTATTCTTTATTCTATTCTTTCTCTCTTCTCTTCTCTTTTCATATGTTGAAGATTATCTTGTCAAGCAAGTTATATTAGAAATGAGTTTATTCTTTCTAGCAAATGATAGATGGCTAAATTACAAGCCTCCCCTTTCGTCACCTGGAGCGGATTCACCTGGGCCTCTTACCTGACGGGGTTCCCTTGCTGGGTTTCCGGCCCTCCTGCTGGCTCTTCTCACCTACGTAGTCAAGCACGATGGGGCGGCCGTCGATCTCTACCCCCTGCTTCTCCAAGGCTTTCTCGGCATCGGCCTCGCTTTTAAATTCGATGTAGGCGATCCTGGAAGGCAAGCGTTAGTTACAGCTTTTAGCTGAGGTTTGCTTGGGGAAGCCGTGTTTTAAACAAGCCACTTAAAGCTGCCCGTACGGGTAGTCCTCGAATTACGACAAGGTCAGGCCGAAAATTTCTGTGGCTAAGCGAGACCTTTGTTAAGGGAAGTTTGCGCCCCTTTGTGACCTTCCTTGGCAGAGTTGTTAAGTGGATCACTTAACGCTGATACGTTAGTAACATGGCTGTTAAGTGAAAATGGCTTCCCCCACTAACTTTGCTGGTCAAAAGGTCGTAAAAGGGGATCAAATGACTTTGGGACACAGTAATGGACCTAAGTTTCTCAACCTGGACAACTTTTAAGACATGTGGACTTCAACTCCCAGAATTCCCCAGCCAGCTAAGCTGGCTGGGGAATTCTGGGAGTTGAAGTCCACATGTCTTAAAAGCTTTATATACGGTATTTGTTCGTTTTATGAAACTTATTTGCCACCCATCTCATCGAAAGGAAATTCTTTTTAAGTCGCCTCTGCAAATATATACAGAGAAATACAGATAGTCCTTGACTTATGCCGAGCCCTGGGGAACACTGGAACCGTCATAAATACCGGTCAGTTGCCAAGTGTTTGAATTTTGGTCATGTGATCGTTGGGGACGCTAGAAAGGTTATCAGTGTGAAAAACAGGGAGAGGTCACTTTTTTCAGCGTCATCGTTCACTTTGAACGGTCGCTAAATGAACTGTTAGAAGTCAAGGATTACCTGTATTTCTAGCTAGCTTCCTAGAGAAGCTGTCAATCATGCTGTCACTTCAGACTTGGCATATTAAGCTAATAGTTAGACATCAGACTAAAAAATCCCCCTAAAAGGGCTAATAATAAAAAAACCAGTAAAACCGGATCTATAATTATATATCTTGTGAATAAGATAAGAATACTTAGTTACATAAAATTTTACAATTGAATATTATGTGTCAAAGAACGTAAAGGATTTGGTGCGTTTTGACTGATGTATAAAAATAGTATGCTCACGGTCATTATGATGTGTTTGTTCTATGTAATTGTATTACTGTTATTTATATGCTCTAGGCCAGGGGTAGGCAACCTTGGCTCTTTTATGACTGGTGGACTTCAACTCCCAGAATTCCTCAGCCAGCATGGGGGAACTATGGCCCCTTCATGACTCGTGGAGTTCAACTCCCAGAATTCCTCAGCCAGCATGGGGGAACTATGGCCCCTTCATGACTCGTGGACTTCAACTCCCAGAATTCCTCAGCCAGCATGGGGGAACTATGGCCCCTTCATGACTCGTGGACTTCAACTCCCAGAATTCCTGAGCCAGCATGGCTCAGCTTGGAAACCTCTCCCTTTCCCCTCAGCATGGCTGGCTCGGGAATTCTGGGAGTTGAAGTCCACGAGTCATAAAAGAGCCAAGGTTGCCTACCCCTGCTCTAGGCCATATGCTAAATAAATACATTAAATGTTTATTTTGGTACAATTTGCTAGGTGGCACTGTTTTATCTTCTAGCTTGTGTTTGCAAGTTAGTCTTTAGAATGGACCCAGGAGCTCCAAAATAATTACATCTACATGGAGACTTCAAAAACAAAGACTTTCCCCATTAAATGGATGGGATTACAACGGCGGAATGCCTTTCAGCGGTTTAAAAAGGAAAGCGGCACCAACCTTGTTACAAAGAAATAAAAAATATATATCGGTCTTCTGAAGAGTAACGTACCCTTTGCTATTCCCATCCTTGGACACCAGCCTGACTTCGACGGCGTCCTCAAATACGCCATGCAGTTCATCCTGGGTGACGCTGTAAGCCAAGTTCTTCACAAAAATGGTCCTGGCTTCTCTCTCTGGGAGAAAAAAAAAGGGTGTGTAATGTTATAATGCGATAAAGGAAAACGGCAAAAGTAAGTGTGCCGACCGGTTGGCCAATTAGTTTTGGCGGTGAATAATTTTATTTTTGGACCGGTGTTTTTTTTATTTATTTATGTCTTGAAGTCGACTTTGTGGGTACCTATTAGGGACGACAGAGACGGACCCAAGAAGTGCCGAGTCTTCGATAGTCAATAGTCATCGCTGGGCTGGAAAGATAAATTTTCCAGCCTGGTGCATACATTTTCCTGTTCTTTTGAGAGCTGAATTTCAACTCTGACCTGGTACACAAGGGAAGGAACTTTGGTGGAGTATTTCATGCTTAACTAGTCTTGCGTGTGTCTCTGTTGTACACGCACCCTTGAGTCAATATTTTGACTCCTAGCAACTGCCTGGATAGCTCCTGACGAGGTTTTTCAGAAGAGGTTGCCCTTGCCTACTCCTTCCTAGGTGATGTGGCTTAAGGTCATCCAGCTGAGTTCCTAAGGCAGGACTAGAACTCAAGTTCTCCCAGTTTCTCGCCTGGTGCCTTAATTGCCACCCCAAACAGGCTTAATTACTGCCCCGTGCCCGTGTTGTATATTAAAGTGCTGCCAGACAAAATACGCGAACGCGACCGTTACTCACCTTTTTTATTCTCCCAAAGGCTCTCCTTGCTCTTTGCCTTTTCTAGTTTTGTTTCCAAGCCCATCAGTTTTTTCCCATTTAATTTGAGTGCTTTATCCAGCTCGGCTTCAGTGGAGAAATCTACGTAGCCAAACTTCCTGCGTTAACAGAGGAAGAATTTTCAGTCTTGGGAAAAACAAGAATTAAGCACACAAAGGGGATGCTTTCTCAGGGCCCACTGCCATCCAAGTTCAAGCAAATTAAGGTAACAACCATTGTTTCTCGTCCTGCCCTCTGATGCTTTGGAGAATAAATTGGCACACCCCCCCCAAATACTGGAAGACTGCTATCATGTCGCCCCTATTTCTTCTTTTCTTTAGACTAGCCAAACCCAAATCCCGCAGCCGTTCTTCGTATGGAAGTTGGTCCTTCCAACTCAATGAAGTTCTTACTTGGAATTGCCAATTCTGACTTCCTGGACTTGAAGGTCCTTTTTGCCAAAGAAATCTCTGATGGCAGCCTTGAGTTCTTCGAAGTTCTTGCTGGCGTTGAGGTTACTCATGAAGAGAGAGAAGGCAGGCTCTACACAGGCAAAGGGGAGAGTAAGACATTGGGTCAATCATCCCCAGGAAAGGCTGCTTAATTAGCAGGCGGCCCTGGTGGAAAAGATTCTACTTTCAGCTTTACAGCTCGGAAATTAAAAAAAACTCCTCAGTTCCTGGCTACGTGGCCTATTTAAGACAGGGGTCTTCAAACTTGGCCCTTTGATGACTGGGGGACTTCAACTCCCAGAATTCCTCAGCCAGCCTCCATTTTGTTTGTTAGATTTAAGACAGGGGTCTTCAAACTTGGCCCTTTTAGGACTGGTGGACTTCAACTCCCAGAATTCCTCAGCCAGCCTCCATTTTGTTTGTTAGATTTAAGACAGGGGTCTTCAAACTTGGCCCTTTGATGATTGGTGGACTTCAACTCCCAGAATTCTGGGAGTTGAAGTCCACCAGTCCTAAAAGGGCCAAGTTTGAAGACCCCTAGATTTAATACATTCAATGTGCAACTTCTGGGAAGAGCAGGATAGCAATGCTGAACTACAGGTAGCCCTCGACGTACGACCACAATCGAGCTTAGAATGTATGTCGCTGAGAAATTCGTGACGTCCCATTTTACTTTACGATTCTGGCCAGAGTTCAGTGAATCACAGTGAAGCAAACCTGGCTTCCTTCGTTGACTCTGCTTGCAGGAAGGTCACAAAAGGGGATCGCATGCACTGGCGCAGCACTAGCGGCCTCGTATGCGCACCCGCCAGCGGCCCTTCGCGGCCACGGGCATGTGCAAACGGGGCTGCGGGCACTAGCGTGAGTGGGGGGGGAGAGCGCATGCACAGGCATGTGTGCATCAACCTGCTCTAAACGGTTTAGCCTGTTGGCCCCAACAACCTGGGTCCTCATTTTACCGACCTCGGGAGGAGGGAAGGCTGAGTCCACCTTGAGCTGGTGAGGATCGAACTCCTGGCAGTCAGCAGAATGAGCGTGCAATGCTGCATTCTAACTCTCTTGCTATGGGCTGGTCCTAAACCTAGAATATCTTATCACGTATGCTTGAGATTTCCAGGGAGGTTAAAAACGGGGTGACTGAAATATTTGAAGTCAAGGGATATGGAGAGAGAGGGAGAGGGAGACAGAGAGAAAGAGAGGGAGGAAGAGAGAGAGAGAGAGGGAGAGAGAGAGAGAGAGACAGAGACAGAGAGAGAGAGAGAGAGAGAAAGAGAAAGAGAGAAAGAAAGAGAGAGAGATCATTATTAGCAAGTCCGCTGTGGCTCTTCCACAGGGGGCAGTCACCTTCTGTTTTCTTCTTCTTGGCATCTGGGGTGCCTTTCTGCTTGGCCAATTCCTTCTTTCGTTTTCCAGGCATGCCTTGCAGACCTTCTGGGGAGTAAAAGGGCAAACGTGTTAACGACGACAACCACAGACACACAGGGGAAAAAAGGCCGGCGAGACAGAAGGCCCCGAAAGTAGTGCTGGATCAGGACTTGACTATCTTAAAGTTTTGCTCATATGTGATTTTGGATCACATCAGTTCAGCGAGGATTCATCATTTTTCCAGCTCTGGGGACCCAGGGTGAAAAAAGGAGACCCGGTCTCGTACCCACGGGACAGGCGGACTCACCTTCTTCCTCTTCGTCGTCGTCGTCCTCCTCGTCGTCGTCCTCTTCATCCCCTTCCTCCTCTTCCTCGGAGTCTTCCTCTTCTTCCTCAGACTCCTCCTTTCCTGGGGCTGCCTTCGCCGGGGCTGCCTTCGCTGGCACAGCCTTCTTTCCTTTGGCTGGGGTGGCTTCCATGGGCTCGTCCTCCGACTCTGTTAGGAAGCCGTGAGGAAAAGGGCCGGGCTGAGCAACTCCTGCGGCCCACCCGAGACAAACTGTCCGGAACCCCCTCCTCCCAATCCCTCCGGCATCTTCTGCCTGAATGAACCCATCCCCCCCCCTGCTGAAAACGCTCGGCTGGTCCTAGTCGACGCAAACGAGGTAAGCGGAACAACGTCCAGGCAGTCCTCGACGTACGGGCACAGCTGAGCTCAAAATTTCTGTCGCTAAGTGAGGGAGGTGTTGAGTCTTGCCCCATTTGGCCCCCTTTCCCGCCACAGCCGTTAAGCAAATCGGGCTTCCCCGTTGACTTAAGGTGGCAAAAGGCGATCGCGTGACCCCGGGGACACTGCGGCCGTCATGGCTGATGTGAGTCAAAGGCTACCTGTAGGGTCATCTACTGGCGTTCTAATATTCCCTTCCAGTTTAAAAAGAAAAATGCAGTTTTAAGAGCTACTCTTAGTAAGCTACTCTTACTTATATGTAAGGGTGTAGGTTCCTGAGCCAGCCTACCCCTGGTCTATACATATGTTGTATGTGTTTAAATGTCTGTTATGTATGTGTACACTTTGAGAGCAAGTGACTAAATTTCATTTTTAATGTGTGCCGTTGTGCCCACAGGGGGGAAAATGACAATAAAGGTTATCTAATCTATCTACCTACCCTATTTCTCTGCCCGTCTATCTATCTATCTATCTATCTATCTATCTATCTATCTATCTATCTATCTATCTATCTATCTATCTAATCTATCTACCTCTATCATTTATTGTCTATCTGCCTGTCTCTCCATCCGTCCGTCCGTCCGTCCGTATCTATCTATCCATCTATCCATCCACCTACCTACCTATCCTATTTCTGTGTCTGCCCGTCTACCTACCTACCTATTCTTTCTCCCTATCTCTGTCTACCTATCTATCTACCTATCTATCTACCTATCCATCCTATCTGTGTCTGCCCGTTTATCTATACCTATATCTGTATCTATCTATCTATGTCCGCCCGTCTACTTACCTATCTATCCACCCTATTTCTGTCTGTCTCTATCTGCCTATCTATCCATCCATCCATCCACCTACCTATCCATCCTATTTCTGTCTGTCTGTCTATCCATCCTATTTCTCTCTACCTACCTACCCATCCTATTTCTGTCTGTCTATCCATCCTATTTCTCTCTACCTACCTACCCATCCTATTTCTGTCTGTGTCTATCTATCTATCTGCCCATCCATCCATCCCTTCTTTCTTTCTTTCCATCTATCTACCCTTTTGTAATTTGATTAAGGAATGGGATCAACACATCAGATCATACAAGAGACATCACCAGATCAGTATTAAGTCCCAAAACTCGTCATCTGTGCTGATATTTTTTTTAACCTTCCTACTCACGGTAACAAGAATGTGCTATTCCTCCTCACGATAACCCCCCCTTTCATTTCCTAAGTTTAACTTGCGGAATCCGCTGTGCTTTTTCCAGCTAGTACTCAAGACTCAGGGAGCTGCGCTTCTCTTAACAGAGACGTACCATCCTCTTCGCTATCATCCTCTTCCTCTTCCTCCTCGTCCATCGGTTTCAGGATGGTGGGAGCGACAGGCTTCTTCTGAGGGGCCGGGACACCCCGCTTTTTCACTGGCACAGCAGCCTCCTCCTCAGATTCATCTGTGGCAAGCAGTTTACTTAGGTCAGTTCTTAAAATCTTAAAATCAAAAGCTTAACATTTAATAAATGGACTCTCCTGAACAAAGTTGGAGTAAGGGGGGGGAAAAAAAGGTGACCCCTATTGAGATTACTAGTACCGGAAGTCCTCGACTTACAACCATTCAAAGTTATGGCACTAAAAATATGACTTATGACTATTTTTCAGTTATGATCTTTGAAGCATTCCCCAAGATGGGATCAAAATCCAGATGCTCGGCAACTGTTCACACTTATGACCGTTGCTGCGTCCCAAGGTCACGTGATCCCCCTTTGTGACCTTGACAAGCCAAGTCACTGGGGAAGCCGGATTCGCTGAACAACGGTGGCAAGGAAGGTCGTGAAAATGGGGCAAAACTCACTTTCAACGAATGTCTCACTTAACGACAGACATTTGGGGGCTCAACGGTGGTCGTAAGCCGAGGACTACCTGGACTGTAGGGAAGATCTTTTCCAAAAGGTGTAGCTCGCAGTTTCGGGCTGCCAAATGTTAAGGAATAGCGACGTTATCATTTATTTATTTAAATTTATCGATCGCTCAAAGTGCAGGGGACTCCGGATAGGGCCGAAAACGAGACAAACCTCCCCCCGCAATTCACCTTCCTCGCTATCATCTTCTTCATCCTCGTCCTCCTCTTCGTCGTCGTCCTCTTCCTCCTCGCTTTCTTCCTTCTTGGCATTCTTCCCGTTTTTCGCTCCCTTGGCAGAGACGGGGGCCTTTTTCGCAGGCGCGGCAGCTGCTTTCTTAGCCGGGGCGGCAGCTACTGCCTTTTTCGCAGGAATTGCTGCCTTTTTGTTGGGAACAGCTGCTTTTGCTGGGACGGCTGCTGCTTTCTTAGCAGCCAGCATCTGCGAGAGAAACGCATTACGACAGGCAAGGCTATCTTGGCAGCCCACAAGACAAGGGAGTGTAAAACACAAAACTCACTAAGGAAAAAGTTTTCAGCAATTGGTTCAAGTCAAAAAGTATGACAGGAGCAGGGAAAGAGTGCTGTAGGGCGGTCATTTCGCATGGGGAACAGCTGCTATGCATAAAAACTGGAATGCTAATAAAGCAGGATGTTGAAATGAGGGGGTGCTGTCTGAGCACCTGATGTCACGTAGTTTGGGTAACAAAATGTCTGCGGGAAAACCATCAAGCTCAGAGCGCACCAAGAGCTCTCAAAACGGAATATTCTCATTTACCCGAGATGCTTTGACTTGTCACCCCTCGTTTTACAACTGCTTGGAGTTACAATGGCCACAGAATGGGGACTTTATATGGCTAGTAAAAGCCACCCCCCCAAAAAAAAAAACCCTCCACTATAAATGACCAGGCTGAACCCCCTGCCATCCAGTGACCACACTGGGCAACTCAGCTTTAGTGTTCGTTGTGATAGCTCAGCTCAAGTGTTTGTTGGGACAGTGTGGTCACGTGACATTTCACTTGGGGGGGGTGTAGTTACAGCATTTTTGTGCGTGTTCAAAGAAACAGGCTCCCCTAAAAAAAAAAAACACCAAGAAAAAAGAAAAGGAAAATTACTTCAGGCCATTTGGGGTGCCTTGATGGACGACCAGATTTCCAATCTCTGTTATGATGGCTGGTTGAGGACTATCAGCCTGCTTTTATCAGATTGTGTGCAAGTGGGGTTCAAACGTGTGTTCACGTACCAATTACAACTGTGGTATAATGTAACGTAAAATGGGTCTCAGGCGAGGATCATCTGGAACAGGGGTCTTCAAACTTGACCCTTTGATGACTCGTGGACTTCAACTCCCAGAATTCCTCAGCCAGTCATCAAAGGGCCAAGTTTGAAGACCCCTGTCTTAAATCTAACAAACAAAATGGAGGCTGGCTGAGGAATTCTGGGAGTTGAAGTCCACAAGTCATCAAAGGGCCAAGTTTGAAGACCCCTGGTCTTAAATCTAACAAACAAAATGGAGGCTGGCTGAGGAATTCTGGGAGTTGAAGTCCACGAGTCAAAGGGCCAAGTTTGAAGAGCCCTGATCTGGAAGCTCAAAGCTGAGCACTCCATCTTATTCTTTGTCCCCACAACAACCCCTCTGGTTTCAGAAGGTTGAACGGGGAGTGACAGCAAGCCTCCCAATTAACTTCCATAACTGAAGCTGGACTGGAACCCGGATCTCTGCTCCTAGCGCATCACCTTCCTCACCAAGCCGCAACATTTCTCACCTCCTCCTCCTCACTACTCTCCTCTTCTTCAGATGAATCTTCTTCATCGCTGTCATCAATTTCCTTCGGGGGAAGGGTAGTCATTTTCTTTTGTTTAGGCTGGTTTTTAACATTCTGCAAAACAAAAAAAATATGTGAGGGCTTCTTTTCCCTCACCATCTAGAATAGGCGGGTCCAGCCCGACGGGCCACATGCACCCCTGGACAGCTGCAGCCCCACAAAATTGTAAGCTTTTAACACTACATTGTTTGTATACATCAAGTATATACTTTATATGTGGCCCAAGACAATTCTTCTTGACTCAATGCCTCCCGAGCAAGCCAAAAGGTTCTTTTTCAGTGCTGTTGTGAAGTTTGAACAATTGCTGAATAAGGACTACCTGTATATGTATATCACATCATTATTTGTAAGTATTTGAAACGGCAAATGAATTTTGTTCGCAAATTAGTCTTCCATCAAAATTTCACTCTGCAGTGACTAGGTACTTTTCAAAAGCAGAGAGGTTTTATCTGTCATACTATTCTGAAGGATATTTCAAGGTTTTTAGTTGCTGGGCATCCTCATCCTTGAAATCCAAAGCACTAAAGTTATCTTTTTCAATCACACTTAAGTGCTTCATATTTCAATGATAAACGGCTGGGTGTCAGCGTGCTGAGAGCAATTTCACCAATGGCCAGTCCTATGTTTTCAATCTCTTAAGACATTTTTCTTTTTAAAAGGCACCTTTTGAAAAAAAAAACAAACCCTAGTGAAACAATCATCCTCTTCCAGGACCACATTGGCAACAGAGGGACATTCAAATATTTGCACCCCACAGCTGCTTCTGTTTGCTCTTCCACATATCTAAAAAATATCATCTGAAGCATCTGCTTAGCTATCCCAAGGTCAACACAGATTTCAACTGGTTTGCAGTTCATTTATATTTAAATAAATTGGCTTCTGTCTCTCTCATTTTGCTATCCAAGCATGGTGAAGTCTTCAGGAGTCCCAGATTTGGACGGTATCAGGGTGGTGAACAGAGATGAAAAGCCTGCATGCCAATATAATGAATTTCTCAATTAAATGAGTTGAACTCTTGTAAAGATAGATGAGGTATGTTCCACTGAGCAAATGGTGTTTATGTGATATGGGGGTGGTTAAGGAATAGCCTCCTTGGGGAGCAGTCTTGCAAGTGCTCCAACATTGGGTTTTTAATAAAATTCATCTGAGAATTTCCTGTTTGAGTGGAGGTGGGGGTGAACTAGAGGTCGTAGAAAAGCAACAAAACTGATTAGGGGGGCTAAAAAAACGTTGCAGGAATTGGGTATGTCTAGTTTAATGAAAAGGAGGAGTGTGGGTGACATATCAGCCTTCCAGTATCTCAGGGGCTGCTCTAAAGAAGAGGGAGTCAAGCTATCCTCCAAAGCACCAGAAAGCAGGAAAAGAAGCAATGGAGAAGCAAGGAGCTAAGGAGAAATTTCCTGACAGTTAGAACAATTAATCACTGGAACGACTTGCCACCAGAACTTGTGGGTGCTCCATCCCTGGAGGTTTTTGGGAACAGACTGGAAAGCCACTTGTCTGAAATGGTACAGGGCAGGGGTAGGCCACCTTGGCTCTTTTATGACTCGTGGACTTCAACTCCCAGAATTCCTGAGCCAGCCATGCTTAGGGGAAAGGGAGAAGTTTCCAAGGTGAGCCATGCTGGCTCAGGAATTCTGGGAGTTGAAGTCCACCAGTCATAAAAAGAGCCAAGGTTGCCTACCCCTGATATAGGGTCTCCTGCTGGGGCAGGGGGGTTGGACTAGAAGACCTCCCAAGGTCCCTTCCCACTCTGTAAATCGACCAGCCTGTTGTGTGGCAGAGCACACGCTTTGCCCAACCGTCAGAAAAGGCCTTTCCTGGTCAGAGATACCGAAAAACCCTTTCTCTGTTCCACAGTTTGCACCGAGCAGAGGATTCTAGGCTGGCCTACCCCGAGACCCTCGGTGCCCCCCAAGCAGTCCGTTTTATGACCACCCCCCCAGGAGGCGGCAGGCCTTGGGAGCCAGGCCGGGCCCGGCCAATCTCCCTCTCTCGGCCTCGTGGGCAGCCATCCGAGGCCGCCTGGCCTACTTAAAGAAGGCAGATTGGGGGGGGGGTCCGAGGCCCAGCCGGGGGCGATCCATAGCCGGGCCAAGCAGCCGCGGCCTGGGCCCGGCAGGTAGGCCGCACGTGGATTTCCACGAGGGAAGGGAAGCGCGGTTATTTTTTTCCCCCCTCCCCTTTCACGTGCTCCCGCCGCGCCGGTCGGAAGGAGTTGGTGTCACGTGGTCGAAGGGCGCCCGAGCGCGAGCGGAAGAAGGATTCTCGCGCGCCCGGCGTAAGGAGGTCCTTTTTTTTTTTTTTTTTTCTCCCTTTCGCTCCTCCCTCCTGCGCGCGCAAACGGAGCGACGTTCGGGCGGCGCGAGGCAGCCCGGGCGCCTAGAAACTGTCCTCCGGCAGGCAGGCGCGCGGGCGCGCTCTCTCTCTCACACACGCGCTGCCAATAACGGCGCGCGAGGGCGCCTAGAAACCGCCGAACGTTCCACCGCCGAGCGCGTGTGGGCGCCCGAGAAGCGCTTCCCAACCGCGAGGGAGGGAGGGAGAGAGAGGGGGGGGCTGCAACCGTTTCTAATGATCCTCGTCACCGCTGCTTTCTTTATAGGGATTGAGCGCGGGAGGCCTAGAAACCGCCGAGCGCGTTAAGGCCGCCTGAGTTGCCCGCCCTTGTCATCTCCCTCCCTCCCTCCTTCCTCCCCCCTCACACAAACACACACACACACACACAAACGCCATCAACAGCCTTGGCTGTTTAAAGGCGGCCTCCGCCGCCGCCCTCCTCCTCCCAGGCTAGGCCGCGCGTCCTCACCTTAGCGAGCTTCACCATAATGGCGGCGGAGTTGTCCGGATGTTCAGCTGCTGCGAAAAAAAAAAACCCACCTCACGCTCCCAGCGCCTGGCTCGAGTCTCCGCCTGAGCCGAAAAGAAGGAGGTTGAGTGAGATCTTCGCTCTTCGCCCCGCCCCGCTGGGTCGCGCGGACCAATCGGGGGCCGCGCGCCCTTACGCCCCGCCCACTCGGCAGGATGGACGGCCGCCGTTCGAGCTCTCCCGAACGGCACGCATCGAGCCAATGAGCGCCGTCCCCGCCTCGTCCTATCAGGGGCCGCGCCTCTCTCGGAGGCGGGCGGAGGAAAGGTAGCCAATGGGGAGGCGGAACGGGCGAGGCGCGGCTCTGGGATAGGCGCGCTCTCCTGGGCGGAAGCGGCGGGGTGGAGGAAGTGGGGCTGCACGTGGCGCTGGGTACCGTCCCGTCCCATGCGCTGCTCTACCTCGCTGAAACGTGCTTTAAGTGGGTTGGGGTGGGGGNAGGAGGACTCCCAAGTTGCGGGCCCTCTCTGAGGGGGCCAAAATTTCGCCCCCTATAGTCAGCGATGGCGTCAGCTGACTATGCCGAGGCGCCGGTAACCACAGCCACTCGGTCTTGGAAGGGTTGAGCCTGAGTCTGTTTCTCCCCATCCAGACCCGTACGGCCTCCAGGCAACGGGCCATCACGTCAAGGGCATCGTCAGTCAGGGTTTCCTGACTGAGCAGGTGGTTGGACTAGACAACCTCCGAGGTCCATTCCGACTCTGTTATTCGGTACTCTGAAGGGGTAACAGCTGGAGCTTTGTTAAATTATTAAATTAAATCTTCCTGAGTACTGTGGAGGGTTTCTTTGCCCTTCTGTGGGGATTTTGGTATTTGGCTCCCAGAGCAGGAAAAACAGCATAGATCCATAAACTGCATTCACACCTTGCTTATTGGGCTACATTTAGACCAGGGGTCCCCAACCCCCCAGGCTGCAGCCCATTATTGGGCCGTGGCCTATTCGAAACTGGGCCCTGCAAGTGGCAGGCTGGCATGCATGAGCGGTAGGCATGCATGCACGCACACATATGTAGGTGAACTTGTGCAAGTCGCACCAGCCCACTATTTACACAAGTTAAACTCCGTTTGTGTGCTGGCCCACTGCGTGCGCTGCCCAGTTCCCCTCTCCTCGTTTGCGAGGCCGCAAAAGTTGGGGACCGCTGATCTACACCCCACATAAAAAAATATATAATCTTGAGACTTTGTAACTTGGGTGAAATATAAAACAGTGGAAGTGATCAGCTTGCTTAGTTTTCTTGGCGCTGTGTGTCAAAACACCCAGGAGTCACAAACTAATAATACCATTCATAATAATAAACCTAAATAATTCACAATCTGAAATATGACAGATCACTGGGAAATACCTACTTGTTGGATATGCGAATAAATGCAATATTTTACCACGGATAGAAACTAGCCAGCTGGGTGGCTGGGCCAGTCCCTCTCAGCCCAACCCAGCCCAGCCTACCTCACAGGATTGTTGTTGGGAAAATAGAAGGGAGATGTGTTGAATATCTTCGCCATCTTGAATTATTTGTAAAAGTAATAAAGGTAGGATATAATAATAATAATAATAATAAAGTTGGAAGGGACCTTGGAGGTCATCAAGTCCAACCCCCTGCTCAGGCAGGAAACCCTACACCATTTCAGACAAATGGCTGTCCAGTCTCTTCTTAAAAACTTCCAGTGTTGGAGCATTCACAGCTTCTGGAGGAAGGTTGTTCCATTGGTTATTTGCTCTAACTGTCAGTTACATGTTACATGTGGACTATTTTTTAAAATATGTTTTATTGATTTTTACCATAATCACCTTAATATTTGGTAAATAGCGTGTTGTCTCGGTTTATATTTAAAAAACAACAATGAATTTCTATAATTCTATAGTCCATATCATGGCTTTGCTTGATTTTCTCTTCTTCCAGTAATATTCTTTTGCCAACCTTAAATTAATACAGTTCTTATTATTTAAATAAATGACAATTAATATAGACATTTTTCTCACGTTTCTGCAAATAATAACCACATCAATATAAAGCTTCTTTTCTAATTGATCATCTCGATTGCCTCGTCATAGATCCTGTTTACAAGATTCTTATTTAAATTTGTTTTCCTCACAATATTCAAAACATTCTGACTGGTTAAGATTTTCTCAGAATTGATTACACTTAAGTATTTAAGTCTTTTTTCTCACACGAGACATCCCAACACTTTTTACATTTCTCATATCTTAAAAAAAAAAGAGAAAACATTTCTTTTGTATATAAACCATCCCAACATTTTTATATTTCTCATGTCAAAAAACAAAACACAAATGAAAAAAAGAAAGAAAAAAATACTATGTTACTTGAAGGGTCCATCCCTCGTAAACTAATCTTCATTTATATCCAAAATCTTTCTATTTCTTTAACCATATTCAAACGGATGTTTAATTTTTAAATATTCCCTCTGGTAAATCCTATCATCTGATTTCTTCATTCTCACTTTAGCCTTTTTTTTTTTTTTTTTGCCAAACATCTTTCCTGATCAATATACATGTGAACCATTGAGGGTCTTTGATTGCCACAGCACAAATCCAATAGATAAATAAAGTAACAGTCTGTTTAGACTGAGTGGGAGCATTCCCCCCCAAATTCGCTCATGAAATGTTCATTGCAAACCTTGAGAATTATTTTAAAAGCTGCCTGAATGCTCAATGAAACTAATTACAATTGAAAAACACGAAAACAATAAAATACGATAGACAAAAATGANGCCTCTCTCGGAGGCGGGCGGAGGAAAGGTAGCCAATGGGGAGGCGGAACGGGCGAGGCGCGGCTCTGGGATAGGCGCGCTCTCCTGGGCGGAAGCGGCGGGGTGGAGGAAGTGGGGCTGCACGTGGCGCTGGGTACCGTCCCGTCCCATGCGCTGCTCTACCTCGCTGAAACGTGCTTTAAGTGGGTTGGGGTGGGGGTGTCGTGAGAACGCAGCCCGTGTCCAAGGAGGATTCGGGTTGGGAATCGTCCAGTTCTTGGTGTGAACGAGAGGCTGCTGGAAGTCTGGCTTCTCGATTCAGGGCCTTTATGTCCTGAAATGGTCAGATAATCACGTCCCTTCTGTTGTTGATGGATCTGGCTCTTGACTTCCCTTGCGGAGCGGTCCGGTTAGGGAAGGATTGTTAGGAATGGAGGGGCCGTCACGGAGAAGAGGGGTTCGGCCTATTCTGCAGGCAGGACAAGAAGCAACGGATGGAAAAGAAGAGAATAGGAGAAAGAATAGAAGAAAGAAAACAATAGGAGAGGAGAAAGAATAGAATAGAAGGAAATTGAATAGAAAGAATGGAATAAAATAGAATAAGAATAGAATAGAAAGAATGGAATAGAATAGAATAAAAGAATAGAAGAAAGAATGGAATAGAATAAGAAAACAATAGAATGGAATAAAATAGAATAAGAAAACAATAGAAAATAGAAAGAATAGGAGAAAAAAGAATGGAATAGAATAGAATAGAAGAAAGACTGGAATAAAATAGAATAGAATAAGAAAACAATAGGAGAAAATGGAATAAAATAGAATAAGAAAACAATAGAAAATAGAAGAAAGAATAGAATAGGAGAAAAAGAATGGAATAGAATAGGAGAAAGAATAGAAAGAATAAAATAGAAGAAAGAAAAGAATAGAATAGAGGAAAGAATAGGAGAAAAAATAGAAGAAACAATAGGATGGAATAGAATAGAATAATAACTTTATTGTCACTTTGAATGTACACTAATTGGCATACATTAAAATGAAATTTCGTTGCATACAGCTCTCAGGATTATCGAAGGGAGATCCAACCTGGAAATAAGGAAAAACATTCCTGACAGGACAATTCACCATTGGAATGACTTGTGGCTGCTCCAACACTGGAGGTTTGTTTTTTTTTAAGAGACTGGACAGCCACTTGTCTGAAATGATACAGGGTTTCCTGACTGAGCAGGTGGTTGGACTAGAAGACCTCCGAGGTCCCTTCCGACTCTGTTATTCGGTACTCTGAAGGGGTAACAGCTGGAGCTTTGTTAAATTATTAAATTAAATTTAAATCTTCCTGAGTATTGTGGAGGGTTTCTTTGCCCTTCTGTGGGGATTTTGGTATTTGGCTCCCAGAGCAGGAAAAACAGCATAGATCCATAAACTGCATTCACACCTTGCTTATTGGGCTACATTTAGACCAGGGGTCCCCAACCCCCCAGGCTGCAGCCCATTATTGGGCCGTGGCCTATTCGAAACTGGGCCCTGCAAGTGGCAGGCTGGCATGCATGAGCGGTAGGCATGCACGCACGCACACATATGTAGGTGAACTTGTGCAAGTCGCATCGGCCCACTATTTACACAAGTTAAACTCCGTTTGTGTGCTGGCCCACTGCGTGCACTGCCCAGTTCCCCTCTCCTCCTTTGCGAGGCTGCAAAAGTTGGGGACCGCTGATCTACACCCCACATAAAAAAATATATAATCTTGAGACTTTGTAACTTGGGCGAAATATAAAACAGTGGAAGTGATCAGCTTGCTTAGATTCGCATCTTTCAGGGTTTTCTTGGCGCTGTGTGTCAAAACACCCAGGAGTCACAAACTAATAATACCATTCATAATAATAAACCTAAATAATTCACAATCTGAAATATGACAGATCACTGGGAAATACCTACTTGTTGGATATGCGAATAAATGCAATATTTTACCACAGATAGAAACTAGCCAGCTGGGTGACTGGTCCAGTCCATCTCAGCCCAATCCAGCCCAGGATTGTTGTTGGGAAAATAGAAGGGAGATGTGTTGAATATCTTCGCCATCTTGAATTATTTGTAAAAATAATAAAGGTAGGATATAATAATAATAATAAAGTTGGAAGGGACCTTGGAGGTCATCAAGTCCAACCCCCTGCTCAGGCAAGAACCCTACACCATTTCAGACAAATGGCTGTCCAGTCTCTTCTTAAAAACTTCCAGTGTTGGAGCATTCACCGCTTCTGGAGGCAGGTTGTTCCACTGGTTAATTGTTCTCACTGTCAGTTACATGTTACATGTGGACTATTTTTTAAAATATGTTTTATTGATTTTTAACATAATCAC